CACACACACACACACACTCTGTTAACCTGTAATCTGACAGCCGCTCAGTTAAACTGCAGCAACAATTAGGAATCTAATTCACAAACTGACATACCAACAAGGTGACACATTAACAGGAGAGGAGGAGGAGGTAAAGAGATCCTCTTCATCGTCTTGCAGGACAAAAAAACATCCAATACTTTCCGATGTTGAACCTTGAGCTCAACCTAGAGGTCAAAGGTCAGCTGTAGCGGTGCTGCCTTCACTGACTTTTGTGGATTATGAACGTGTAATGAGGAGTCGGTCCTGGCGTCCATCAGCAGCAGCTGAGGCTGAAATCTGTTTCCTCCAACTACATCTGCCCCCCTCCCACCCCCCGCCCCCCCACAGGAAAACTGGCCGACCATTATATTTGACTTTTCCCATTAGCTTTTGTGGCTGGTTAAGTGGTCGTGGAGGGGGGTTAATCACCTCCGCCAGCGGGCCTCAAATAGCAGCAGTGTGAGCGCAGCAGCAGCGGCCATATGTGGAGTCTGCAGGAGAGGACATGTGCCCGGGAGGTTGCTGGTTTGAATCCCTCCCCCCGAGTAGCAGAGATGATGACTGATGTTCTGGACATGATGCAGAAACCAGAAAACAGGAGTTAAACAAACAGGAAGTTATGCTAGCAGCTCTGTGAGGCTGCGCTTTGAGCTAAATGTCAGCATGCTAACGTGCTGATGTTTAGTGTAATGTTTCCAATGTTCACCTATTTAGCAACACAAAGTCAAGCTGAGGCTGACGGGAATGACACTTTCAAATACATAAATTAGATGCTAGTTTACCATCTTAGTTTAGCATATTAGCATGCCATAATTTGCCAGATTAGCCACAAACAAAAAGCCCACCTTAGTGCGTTGGTGCTAGCATGCTAAAAATTGTATTCAGGACTTTCCCATGACTTACTTTCTCCTGAAAGACTTGAAAGAAAAACCTTTCAAATAAGTAAATAAATGAGGTGCTAGTTTACAAATCAGATCAGCTGTTTAAATGAAACCAGAGGGGACCCAGAATGGACCCCTGAGGAACACCAGATTTAATATTTAGACAGGATGTAGGTGAAAAATAGATTTTGTCTATTAGAATTTGATCCAATGAATAATGTAAATGTTTAGAAAGATAAAGTACATTATTCCTTACACTCACAGCTGTAAAGTCAGATTGAGGTTTGTTCGGTTATAGATGACGTGTGTGTTTGGCAGGGGGTGTGTGTGGGAGTGGCGGTCAGCAGGTCGTCCTCTCGGCTCCTCTTTGATGTGTCTCTGTTGTTGCCAGGTGACACGCTGAGCTCTCATTTGTAATCAGTGGATCAGAAACGCCCTCTGCCAATTAAACTGAGCCTCCGGGTCGCCGTAGTTAACCAAAACCCGACCGGCAGGCAGCAGGTCGGAGGATTACTGACCCTCTGTAGCCTGCAGTTTGGCAGCCTGTTGGTTTAATTTAGTGAAATTAGTCTCTGCTGAGGACTGAAGCTCACATTGGTTCCTTATCAGCTGCTAACGTTAGCTTCTCCAGCTAACATGATCCATGATGCTAACTTATGTATTCTGACAAACGGTGTTGATGTTTGCCAACAATAAATGATGCTAACAGTACAAAGCTAACGATAGCTTTCTACTAGCCAAGAGTGATGCGAGGGAGGGGCATCCAGCTAGCTAACTGTAGCTACGCTAACTGGGGTTGTACGGCTGGATGTGTCTTAGCTGTACGGTGTGGGTCTGGTGTTGTTTGCTTCGTGGTGTTGGCTGATGG